GGGCAGTTGCAGAAGCCAGGCATAACCCCAAGGAGTTTTTTGGGGGGGTTTCTGGTGCCTGGAAGCATCTATTTCCAGCAACACAGACTCAGTGGATTCCTCTGCCCCATTTCTTGACCCCCCCGCAGGGCTGCTCCCGGCTCTCGGCAGCGTTTTGGAGCTGGAGGGGATGATCAGGTCGACCACGGGGAGAAGCGCCCTGTTCTCCTACACGTGGTACGGGTGTTTCTGCGGCATCGGGGGCAGAGGGACCCCCGTGGACTCCACCGACCGGTGAGTACGTGGAGAAGCGTCACCACGGTCGCAGGGTGGGCAAGGAGGTTCCTAAAAAGCTGAGAGGGGGGTTTGCCACGTTCCCCAGCCACCACATTGCCATCCCCTCCTCCCAGTCACCCTAAACTTGAGGCTGGACCTTCTGTCACCTTCCCGGTGTGGTGAGGGGGGGCTCGGGGGCGCAGTTTGATGTGTGGGACCCTGCAGGTGCTGCCGTGCCCACGACTGCTGCTACAGGAAGGGGAGAGAGGGCGAGGGCAGCCCCCTGGTAACCCCCTACCACTACGACGTTGCCGACGGAGACATCGTCTGCGGTGAGTGCCGCTCGCAGGGGGGCTTTTCCCCTCCCTGGGGACGAAACCTCCCGGCAGGACACAGTTTACAATAACTTAACGGGCATCAGAAGGGCTGTGGGCAGGTTGGAGAGGGCAAGCGCCGCAGCAGATTTCTTCACACGGTTCCCTCCAGCTGCCCCGGGCATTAGGGGTGCCCTGAGGGGACCCCATCGCCGATGCTGGCCAGAAAAGCCATTTTCGGTGTGTTTTTCCTCCCACAGGTAACGAGCAGAGCTGGTGCAAGAGGGAGACCTGCTTGTGCGACAGGGCGGTGGCTTTGTGTTTCGCTAGCGCTTTGCCTTCCTACAACGAGTCGTACCGCTTCTACTTCAAGCTGAAATGCCGGGGAAGCCAGCTCCAGTGCTGAGGAGGAGAAATGTGCACCCAAGTTTGCAGATTTTGACTGGCTCTGCAGCAAGAAAAGCCTGATGCGGGGGCTGAACGGAGCCGGCAAGGCTCCCCACAAGGTGGGGATGCTCAGGGCGAGGACACATCACGAGTGCGGATCACCCCCAGTTTCCAGAAAGACACATCAGCTTCCATTTTTTTTTATCTCTTCCTCTTTCTTCTCTTTTGATTTCATTTCCCGGCAAAGGTCGTAATAAAAGGTATCCAGAATTATCCTCTTTAGTGTTCTTCTGCATGAGCCGCTGAGATCAGGGCACTGCAACGGTGGCATCTGAGTTTGGGGAGCATCACACAGCATCTGCCTGACACCCCAATATTCCCGTGGTCCTGGCAGCAGCCTGGAAAAGCCCAAAGTCCAGCAGTGCTTGAAATTCTCAGGTCAGTCGCCAGGTCTGTCTCGCTGCCACTGGATTCCTGGCTGTGGAGGAGCACTTGAGAAACTTGGACAAATAATTGGCGCCACGTAAAGCTCCCTGGGGTTTGTTAACAAAATAATTCCCCGGCGGTGAGCCCCGATGGCAGTCGGGTTTTCTGGCTTCTCCCGACATTGCTGAACTCGCTCGCAATGTTAAACGAAAGGATGCCCTGAGGGGCAGGCGAGGTACTACCAAAAGGCGTTTTTACGGGAATAGCGGAAGTGCAGAAAAGGTGGGAAATGGTTTGAGACCCTCCTGTGACACTCATGGTGGCAAAAATTAGTCTGAAGAAGTGTCGTCTGCAGAGGGGGGAAGATTTCAAAACCTTGCCCACCCCAAGATGGATCTAGGAGGGCAGGGAAGTCAAATGGTTTCTCTGGAAGGGCCAGGTTCTGCCCAGGGGTTTTGGTGAGGAGGTGGAAAAATCATAGAGAGAAATAAGGGGACATTGTATTCTGTCATCCCAAACCATAAGTTTTTCTTCATTCTTCTCTCCCGGTGGGCAAACTTTTCATCACCCAGTATAACCCTGTGTTTCAGGGAGACTGCCCAGTTAGAGATGCTTTCACTGTTGCCCATATACTCTTCCCAAAGAACCAAAAATTCACCCTGAATCACCTTTGCTGTGAGGCAGACAGTTCCCAAACTGCACGACCCCTTGAAAACCTCACATGGGCTCTGGGATGCAGAAGCTGAACGGGGACTAATAATTCCCCCCCAATACAGCACCGTGGTGCTGGGGAGGGCAGAGAAAAAAGTCCTGGGGCATCTCTGGCCGGGGGCAGAGAGCGTTGCCTTCCTTCTCAGGAAATGACGCTGCTTTGCCGGCTTCATCCCACCCAAGGCCAGTCCCCGTGCGTGGGGTGCGGAGCCAGGCCGTTGGGGGTAATTCTTGCATTCCCGTAAAGAGGAAGGACGGCACCTTCTCCTTTGTAGAAAAGCCCAGCCAGCAAGATTTGGGCGAAACGAGCGTCTGACAGCAGAAGGCGAAGACTATATAAAGCAAGCCCGGGTGGCTGCAGGGCACGGCGAGCCCATGGCGGCGTTCCCCAGGTAAGCAGGGATGGAGGAACGCTTTTCCTCTCTTTTCTCCTTTGATCAAAAGCCGCCGGTGCAAGCGGAGAGCACGTTCCACACTGGGAAAGCAGGAGCAAAGGAGAACCTACCTGAGATGCCAGCCCAGAGGCAAAGCAGCCGGGACAAGCCCGTGAGGGTGGATCATTCCTCCGGCTTTTCTTCCTTTCCCTTTGTTTTGCTTTTTCCCACCATTCTGCCACCTCATTCTCGTCGCTCCCCATCCTCGACGTGGCAGCGCTGCGTGCCGAAGTGACGGAGACGGGCGCTTCTTCGCGCCCCTCACCTTCCCTGGTCCCTGGAGGTGGGGAGCACCTCACCCCTGGGATAGAGAGGGGAAGTGAAAAAGCAAGCGGTTGAAATAATAGGGAAATGGTTTGATTTCCTCTCCCAGGGCTGTCAGAAAGATGAAGGCTCTCCTCACCTTCGCTGTGCTGTTGGCTTGGGGTAAGCGTCCTCTCTCGCACCACTCCCAGGGCTCGTCGAGCCGTTACATCCACAGAAATCAGGACCAGGCTGGAGATTTCTTAACCTTTCCCCGTCACCACCTCTCCCAAACATGCAACAATTTCCTTGCACCGAGCTGGGAGTAAGTTTCCTCTCTGTTGCATCTACTTGTTTTAAGCCATCACCAACCTGGTACCAATCGGGGGGGGCAGAGAGGTGCAGGGAGGCGCAGGAATGGCGCTGGGGAGCTGAACCCCAATGATTTTCTCCCCACCCCCAGGCTCGTCTCCAGCTCACGGGAGCCTCTGGGAGCTGCAAAAGATGATCAAGAAGGTGACGGGGAAAAATGCCTTCCTGCATTACGCCTTCTACGGCTGCTACTGCGGCTTGGGGGGCAAAGGGGAGCCCAAGGATGCCACGGACAGGTAAAACCTGACTTAAAAAATCTCCCCACCCAAACACATCCTTGCATGGTTTCAAATTTAGGGGGTAGGTGGGGAAAAAAAACCCCCAACGCCTCGACCTCCCGCGCAGATGCTGCCAGCTGCACGATACCTGCTACGACAGCCT